AGACGATTGAACTGTTTTAGGGCGAAGATAGTGCGACAGGAAATTTGAGAGATGTGAGGTTTCCAGGATAGGGATTGATCGAAAGTAACATCTATGTTTTTAACGGTGGTGTGGAATAAGATAGGTGAGTTGTTCAGGAGGAGATTGGGAGATACCGGGGAGGATTTGAGGAGTGAAGGGGATTCGATCAAGATGGCTTTTGTCTTCTCGGCGTTCAGAGTGAGGCTATTGCATTTGTCCAAGCACTTATTCTGTCAAGGTCTTCCTGAAATTTTAGAGTGGCATCTGAGATATCTGTCAGATTAAAGGAGAGGTAAATTTGAATGTCGTCGGCATACAGATGGTATTGACAGTGCAGGATAGAGGATGGGAGGTCATTTATATAGATGGAGAGAAGGGTGGGGGATAAGGAAGAGCCTTGTGGGACGCCTCTGGTCAGAGTTAGAGATTCTGATGGTGGGTTATTAGGAATTACAACGTACTGGGAGCGACCGGTAAGGAAGGATTGGAACCAATTAAGGGAACTAGAAGAAAAAGAGATATTTTTAAGTTTGGTTAGGAGGATGTTGTGGTCTACTGAATCAAAAGCTTTGGAGAAGTCTAGGAGAATAAGGATGGTTAGTTTCTGCTGATCTATGGCTGTGTGAAGGTCTTGGGAAATTTTGATTAGGGCAGACTGAGTAGAATAACCAGGCCTGAAACCGGACTGGTAGAGATTTAGGAGATTATTGTCCTCTAAAAAATGGGATAGGTGGGATTGGACTGACCGCTCTAATGGTCGGAAATCATTAGGAGCTGATGGGTTTGAAGTCTTCTTCAATGGGCGTACTTGGGCGGTTTTCCAGGATGTAGGGAAGGTATCATTTTGAAGAGAATAATTGTATATATGATAAAGGATCGGAAGAATGGATGGCAATGCGGCTTTAATCAGTCTGACTGGGATGTTGTCGGGACCGTAATCATGGGATTCTGAATGGATTTAAGGAGATCATCTGGTGTAATATGGGAAAGAAAGAAGTGATCAGGATTAAAGGAAGAGAACATGGGAGCCAGACTGGAAGTGGGAGATGTGGTTGCAAGAGGACAGGAGACAAAGTGAGCGTTGAGGTTATCAGCAGAAACGGAATTGGACTGAGACTGGGGTGCATTACCAATGGTCAGTTTTCTAATAATAGTCCACGTAGCCTTGGTATTGGGAGAGTTGGATAGGGAATGATGGTAGTAACGGGATTTAGCACGGCGTACTGCTGGTTGTGTGCTATTTCGAAGCTGTTTGTAGGAGAGAAAATCATCAGGAAGTTGAGTTCGTTTAAACCGTCGCCTTGAAGCATCTCTTTTTCTCATACACTCCCTCAAAGCAGGCGTAAGCCAAGGAGCTGGAGGATATCGGATGGTTTTTGTGATAAGAGGAGCATGTCAGTCGAGGATAGAGTGAAGTTGAGTGGTAAGGATTTCTACCATGGTGTCTATGGATTTTGAGGAGTAGATGGGATCCCACTGGATATCGTCAAGATCTTCTGACAATGTTTCGTGAGTGAGATAATATAGGTTTCGGAAAGATATTGTTCGGGGAGAAAAGGATGGGACAGGGACATTGTAAGAGATCTGGACAAGATCGTGGGAAGGTAGAAACGGGACCGGGTGCTGAGATGAGGCAAGGAGTTTGTCTGAGGAATCCAGGATAATTAGATCGAGCAAGGACTCTGAATACTGAGTATGATGGGTTGAATTGTAGGGTACTGTCTAAAGGCTGAGAGAATTAAAGAGGTTTATTAGGTAAGAATAATCAGAGGATGGTGCCAGTAAATTGGTGTTAAAGTCACCGGAGAGGATGATGTTTGAGTAGGAAGGGATTAAGTTGTACAATAAAGTCTCAAGTGATTCATCGAAAGGAATTCTAGGAGGGCGATTTATGACAGCAAACAGAATGGCAGATGAGGTTGTGAGGATTTTGGCGAAAAGGTATTCAACGTGCGGAGAATCGGTTATGGAAGAGCAGTGAAGGATTTTGGATTTGAGACTGTCATGGACAAAGAGACCTACTCCACCACCCGTGCGATCTACTCTGTCATGACGAAGGAGAGTATAGTTAGGTAGAAGGATCTGGGAGGACGGGATTGTGGGTTTCAACCAGGTTTCGGATACGGCAATTAAATGGTAGAAGTTATGGAGAAAAAAGTCGTAAAATTCATCAAAATGGGCTAAGAGTGACTGAGCCTTGACGTGGCAGGTTAGAAGGATATTAGTCATGGAAGAAGGAGGGGTGGCTTGGTAAACGGACAGAAGGAGTTAAGGATAGGAATATTTCTACAGCAGCTAGAGCCAATATGAGCCCAGAGACCATAACTATTGATATTATCTCTATTGAGAGGAACAATAAGTGTGCAAGATTTCCTAGATATTAATAAGGATGGTAAACAAAAAATATAAAATTTAGTTAACGAAAAGCATGTTCCTATTGTGAGAAAGAAAAAAAATACAAAAATGAAATTATTATCATAGTCTATTATTAAAACAAACGCAACAAAAACATAAACCTGGGGATATAAAAAAGTAAAAACAAGATTTTTCAAAGTGATGTAACATGTATATGCATGTCAAGCAAACGTGACTAAATCTAATGGTGAGTTGATGATGACGACCTGCTGTCCATCGTCTCGTCGACATTTCACCTTGCCTGTATGTTTATGTGCCCATCCATTCCAGGGCCTGCCTACTATACAAATATAAACTAAAACTGCTGCCTCTATGAAAATTTTGTTCTAGAGATCTTGCAGCAGCCAAGTAAACCAGTAAGGGGATAGAAAATCTTTCATCATAGCGGTGGTACATCTGCCATATGGATATCAAGAACCTGCAGAAGGAATAGAGGGAATCCTAAGCTGCAGTGATGACATCGTACCTGCCCTAGATGCTAATGCACACAGCGAGATTTGGGGGAGCTCGAATACTAACTCTAGAGGTGAGAAACTTTTGGAGACCATTATCAAATATGACCTTGATATTCTAAATAAGGGGAATAAACCGACCTTGTACAATAAGGTTCATTATCAAATATGACCTTGATATTCTAAATAAGGGGAATAAACCGACCTTGTACAATAAGGTTAGGTCAGAAATCATAGATATCACTAGTGACTCAATCGATTAGTGTCCTTATTGATAACTGGCATGTTTCTGATGAAGAAACATGCTCAGATCACAAATATATCAGATTTGATATATCTGACAGAACATAACATGAAGTGGGATTTAGAGGCGGCCGTTAAATGCTGCCCCAAAGCTATCCACCGAGCATGGCAATTGGAATGTCTCAATACTTCATTAACTGACACTATGACATCCCAGAATAAATACAGTATTATTATTATTATGACTAAATCATACCTGGACAGTAACGATGCCAAAGAAACTATAACCAACAGGAAGGTTTCCTGGTGGAATGGAAGTTTCTTATAGCAACGAACACTCACATGAAGATCGTTCTATGCAGAAAAAATATCTGGAAATTGGGATACCTATAAGAAAGCTCTTACTGAGTTAATCTAATCTGTCAGAAAAGCTAAAAGACGAGCCTGGAGAAGGTTTTGTCTGGAGGTGGACAATATTCCAACTGCGTGTCGAGTTAGCAAAATTCTGTCAAAACAAGTTAACCAAAGTACCCTGGGAACACTCAAATATGAAAATAAGTATACCACAAATGAAATTGAAACTTTGAGCGCAGTAGCGACATCACACTTCTCAAAACGTTGTATGACATACATAGTTGTAACAAAGGAGCAATAGGAAAGGATTGGGAGCTCAAACCTAAAATGGTATTTTGGCTGTATTTAACAACAGTCAGACCCATTATATTATATTCAGCTTCGCTATGGTGGCATTAAGCAAAGACTGTAGGTTAATACAACCTTATTAGGAAAAATTCAAAGATTAGCCTGCCTAATTATGGGAGTAATGGGTTCCACCCCAACTGCTGCTAAAGGGATAATGTTGAACATGCCACCATTGCAGTTGGAAGTTGAGGCTTAGGAAACAAGTGCATTATACAGGCTAAGTAAGCTAAATAGCTGCTCTTATATCCTTTGTCAGGGGGGACACACCAAACTACTGAATACGATTGAGTGTGACGAACTGCTAGCCATGCACTAAGATATACAAATCCATGAGTATCTGGACAGCAAATATGATGTTGAGATTGATATCAGCAGACAACACAAACCATAAAATGGTAAAAATTGTTATACAGATGGCTCTCTAACAACTTATGGCTCAGGAGCTCAATAGCTACTACTAGGCAAAGTGACTGGAAAAAATATAATAATTACACATGCAAGCTGCTACTGAGTTTGGACAAAGCAGCTCTTACAGCGATCTGCACTGGTCACTGTAAGTTAAATTATCACATTTGAGGAGGATCGAGTGGATTAACCCAGCAGCTATGAGTCTATCAATCTGATAAGCCTATTAAAATACGTGGAAACAACTAAACCTACATTTAGGAATAAAACAGAGGTTATAATTGACACACAATAGATCCTCAAGGGTCACAGTGCTTTATGCCAAAGTTTAAAAAATGAATAAATAATAATTTAGATGGATTTTAGATGGCAAAAATCAAAAACTAGGTGCAATAATTATTAAAGGTTGGTACCCTAGCGACGAAGGAGATCTTCGAAACGTCCATTTGGGATTTTATTGATAGACATCATATGGAAGTATTTTTTTCCCTACATACATAAAGAAATTGAAGCATGCTTAAATATACATCAAAATAGTTAAAGAATAAACAGTATTTTTTACTATTTCTTTATAGAATCAGAACAGGGTTTTATAGAATATAAAAGATTTTTAAAATAATATATTAATTGCAGTATAGGACATTTTTTTTCTATACTTCAATAAATATATCTTCTTAACTCACTGAATATGCAGCACAAGCAGATTAGCCCGTAAAAGACAGGCTAATAGAAAAAAATCAAGAAATGATATAATGTATTTACCATAATGTGATTTTTCAGTCAGAGGTTCGACATTATATATTCTCAGTGCACTTTCCATACAACAAGTAAAGCATCCTAAATGGAAATTTTGAATAAAATTAATTAAACAATGTGTTAAATATAAAAACATAATAAATTAACTAAAAATAATAAATACAGTACCCTGGTCTTGGTTAAATCGTAAACTAATTACGCCTTTGTCATTGTTAACCATTTTGAACAAAAATAAATGCGTAACTAGTGGTCTTGAACAATGAATAGATGATTTTTATGTTTCCAAAACAGGTTGGGCTATTAGCAGAAACTATCATTTATGAAATTCATGTAATCCTTCAGAAACAGAGTAGCCAAGTTTTCCTAAATAAGAAACAAAGACAGTAGTACATAAACAAACAACTTCGAAAAACAGCGAGCTGTCACCCAAAGAGCTACAGGTTTCTCTACAAAAGTATGAGTAAACTTCAGAAGGATAATCGAATTTCAGTGGCTGTCTTATGATATCCATCTATTAAGTAAACAATTACAATTTTTTGAATAAAACGTTTTGAATTTAATGTTTTGAGATTTCTGGGATGAGTTTATAAATTCATGTGCTCAATTATAAGATATTTATCTTTCCAAATTTCGTTTATTAAAAATTTTAAGAATGTAAAAGGAGCTGACTTCCAATATAGTGGCTATACCATATGACCCGAAACTTCCTATAACCCACTTTACAGACTCTATCCCATTAGGTTATGGTACCGTATTATCTCATACTATGCCAGGTAATTATTCAGATGAGGACCTCACGGGTTACGCATGGTTCACAATTACTTCTGTCACACTTATTCTTGAAGTGCTGAATGCATCCGGGTTTGTCAGAAGAACTGTTTTCGGCGTTTCATAATCACGTATGACCGAAGTGATTGTGAACCACTCATATAAAAATCACTTTCTGCTAGTGCAATATGATATATTGTGATCTAGTTATCAACTGTTTCTAAAAACATATGTTAGTTGCTTAACCTTAGTAATTTAGTCCCAGTTTTGCGCATGCGCTAGATTATAATATACCACTGTTATCTCCTCTCTTAGATATATTCACTTTTCCTTGGGAAATTAGTGTTATTTTTTAATAAAATTGTGACTATACGTGAGCTAAACACCTGGACCATAATATGCACTAATGCCACAGTGAGAACAGTTGCTATTTATTGTGTACAGTTGTGTGAAGTGAAGCCGGTTTATAGAGGCCAGTTCTTTTGTCTCGCAGCCATAAGTACCTGGCCCAGACTAGTCATTTGGGCTTGGAGCCTTAACGGGAGAGGTCCTTTTGCGACGCTGATACAAAATCAAGGTCACGCAGCGTGTTTTAAATGTTTTTTTATATCATTTTAAAATTTTTTTTTTCTCTTCCTTTACTTTCTCTTGATGTATTATGCGATACTACCATCAACTCATGTCTTCTAAGGGTGCAATAACAAGATCTCGCTCTGCTGGATCAACACCACGTTCGTCACCTGCGAAAAAAAAAAGTCGCTAATCGAAAAGAACGACGCCACCTGCGACTCCAGCTAAAGTAGCAGAAGACACTCAACCTCAGCCGGGTACATTTCAGGATACGATAGATGAGTCTCCCTTTTTCACCCCGAATCCTCACGAAATATTGCAAAATGAAAAAGAGGCGATGGAATCTGCACCCATTCTCAGAGATCCTCGACCCCCTCCAATTTTCGTTAAAAATGTAAAAAAAAATTGCGCTACTCTGCACACATTTAAACAAAATTACAACTCCTGGTAGCTACTCCTGTTTAAGCCGGACTAATGATAATAAAATATCCCTAGACACAGCTGATGTATACCGCCAAATCATTAAATATCTATCCGACACAAAGGCAGATTTTCACATCTAACAATTGATACGAGAGCGTTCCCTGAGGGTAGTAATCCGGAATTTACACCCCTCTACTCCAGCCGAGGCGATCCAAGAAGAACTGACGGCCCTAGGTTTCAAAGTCCGACAGAGATGTATCCGGTGCTAATAGAAAAATGCTTGGTAAAATGGTAATGGCCCATATTTTTCATAGATGTAGAACCCTCAGCAGGAGTTATTAAAATATATGAAATTATAAGATTATATTATATTAGTGTTAAGGTTGAAAAACCATACACTAAAAGAGAAATCGTTCAGTGCCATAATTGCCAGGCAAATGGCCACACCAAAAATTACTGCCAAGACATTCCAAGATGCGTGAAATGCGGAGAGTCACACAAGACTAGTGAATGTAATAAACTGAAAACTACTCCCGCTGTATGTGCTTTATGCCTGGAATTACATCCTGCCAACTACAAGGGCTGCCAAGTCTACAAAAACATCAAAAATAAAGTTCGTAAACCAGAGAACCAAGAAGAAATCTCTAAACCCATAAGGGGACCTGCTAAAATAGTTGACTCTAAAGTTTCTTTTTCCCAGTTACTAGGGGGCGGAGCCCCGACTGACAAATGTGAGGCCCTACCGCAACAGGAACCCCAACCCCAACTTCAAAATTCTATCCCTCCTAAAGTACAAAACCCTCAACAACCTCATCAACATCACATTCCTTATATTCCTCCTCCATCACAAGCCACAGACCTTACCAGTTTGTTGGTATCTTTCCTCACTAAATTCAAATCCCTTGTTACCCCACTGATATTTCTCCTTACAAATCTAGTATCCCACCTCATCCATCATTTAAAAAATCATTAAATGAATTCCTTCAAACCCTTATCCATTCTCCTTTGGAATGCGAATGGTGTTAGAAATCACACGTTCGTTGGTGATCGAACTGACAGCTCTATTACTAGACAAGAACGTTAATGTAGTCCTTATTACGGAAACTCGACTGACCAAAAAACAAACTTTAAAAATACCACAGTACTCCACATATCGTACTAATCATGCTGACGGTAGAGCACATGCCGGCACTGCAGTCATTGTACACCAATCCCTCTCTCACCACCTTCTCCCAGTACCTACTCATGATTTCCTGCAATCCACAGCAATCATAATCAAAACCTTCTCCTTTCCTATTACCCTTGCATCAGCGTATTGCCCTCCAAACCAATCCACTCTAATACCCAATTCAATTCCCTCCTCAATTCCTTAGGACACCATTTCATCCTGGGTACAGACTTAAACACCAAGCATCAACTATGGGGCTCAAGAACCACAAATTCTCGCTGATGAACACTGCTGTCTGCACTCAATTCCCAACGTTTTAACCACGTTCTTCCGAACTCACCTACTTACTGGACCACTGATCCTAACCGAAATCCCGATATCCTTGATTTCTTCATCCACAGTGGTTTAGGTTCCCTTAACTATTCCACTGCACGCCTCGACGAACTTTCCTCAGACCACAGTCCATTAATATTCCAAGTATCACTAGCTCCTATTCCTAAACCCTCTCCACCGTCCTTTATCAGAGGCCCAGTCAACTGGAAACTCTTACATCAAATCCTTTCCGAACAAATTGACCTCAGAATAACTCTAAAACCCCAGAAGACCTTGATAATGCCGTACACTCCTTTACAACCACCATTCAACAAGCAGTCTGGACCAGAACCTCACTCATCACCCAAATCCTGTAGCACAATCCCTATCTAGCTCCAGCTATCCCTACAATCCTCCCTGGAGGTTAAAACAGTAGTGGCCCCGCAACCTTTTGTAAATATGTATATATTGGAGTACTGGCAATGGTCATATTCTCCACTTAAGTCCTATGCTAGATGCTTAAGATGCTCTAGTGCCCTCCATCAGTCTCCACTGGCTTGCAATACCAGTGACGCGGCTGGGAGAGAAGCACTGGGACCTGCTTGGGTCCTGCCTTGGCTTCCACATTTGGGGGACAAAACATGACTCAGAATCTCCTGGGCGAATGTAAATATTGTATATAGGTGTGAATGTGTTTTATATATTTTAATTTCATTTAGTTTCTCTCTATTTTTTTTTTTAGCATAGATAGATAGTTTATTGGCTATTATGTACATCATTTAGCCATGGAGTTTGGCCCATTTGGTGTTTTTTTTAGCATATGTTTGTTAATTTTCTTATTTTAATTTCTACAACTTTTTTCATTTATCTCTATTTTAGTTATCATTTGTATGTATATATTGTGTGAATGTTTAATGTAGCCCTAATATTAATGCCCTCCAATGCAGCAGAATGTATTAATTTTCTAATAAAAAAAAAAGAAAAAAAAAGTAATTTAGTTAATCTTATTATTGTGTGTTGAATTCAGTTTAATAAAACCTTTATGTTTCAAATTATTCCTTATTTATCTCTATTACTCTTTAACAATTTATTAAACAGAATTCTTTGCGATGGAGGAACTTCATAGACCCAAGAGGCTACCAATTTCACCAGAAAACAGTACTGCCACTCAAGATTGGAACCGCTTGTTTAAAACAATTCAAAATTTCATATTATCAGTTAAAGTAAGTAAATAATCTGAGAAACTACAATTATTAATTAATTTCAACTCTCCATCAGTGTATGAATACATTAGTGAAGCTGATACTTATGTTAAAGCTATTGAAACATTAAAAAAGTTTATGTTAAGGCTATTAGTGAAATATTCGCTCGCCTTAAGCTCAGAACTAGGCGTCAGGAATCTAGAGAAACGACAGAAAAATACTTAAAAGCTTTGAGACGACTCGCCAAGGGTTGCTCTTTTAAGGCTGTCTCTGCAGGGGACTATAAGGATAAATCAATCAGGGATGTTTTCATAGATGGATTGTTATCTTCTCAAATTTGTCAAAGGCTATTAGAAAATGACATCCTGACCCTTACACAGGCTTCCCAGCAGGCGAGATTTCTGGAATTGGCTCAGGAGTAGTCTCGGCTTTGTAATCAGCCAGTCCTAGTTAACGCAGCTGTTGATGCAGGTAGTACTTCACCTCGAGGCAATGAGAGTCTTTAAATTAGGTCACGAGAATTCGTGGTTCTGGAACCCCATTGTTGGTGCTTGGCATTTAAGTCTGCACCCAAGATGAAGTAATGTCCTTGAGGAGAGAACTGAATTGGGCATTGGATATGGATCGGTTAGGAGGGCAATACGCTGACGCGAGGGTAACCGGATAGGAGAAGGTTTTTATTACGATAGCGGTGGACTGTAGGAAATCGTGTGTAGGTAATGGGAGTAGGTGATGGGAGATGGATTGGTGTACAATTACAGCAGTACCGGCATGTGCTCTTCCGTCAGGATGGTCAGTACTACATGTCAGGTATTGCAGTATTTTGAATTGCCGTTTAGTGGTCAGTCGAGTTTCAGTGGTTAGTGCCACGTCAATGTTCTTGTCAAGTAATAATACATATAGTTCGTCTGTATGATT